ACTGAAAGAAAATACCCTCATGTTTGGAAATTTTTGAAAATTTCCCTAGTAAATTCCTCATGGGTCAAAACTAGATCAAAGTGGAATTTTAAGAAGAATGATACAGTATTAATATATATGATAACTTGTGGGACACAGCTAAAGTAATGTTTGGGTGTAGATTTGTCTTAAATACTTCATTGGAAAAGATACAGAGTGTTAGATGCATCAGTTAAGCTTCATGCCTAAAAAGTGGAAATTGTAACCACTGAATAAATCCAAAGAACATAGGAAAATAAAAATAATAAAGATAGAAATAGAAATTAATGAACTAGGAAGCCAACATGTAAAAGAGTATCAATTAAGCTGAAACTTACTTTTTTATAAAGAGGATTTATCAAATAGGCAAACTTTTGCATCAAAGAGAAAGGGCACAAGTATTTCTAGAAGTGAATGAAAGCCTGTAACTTCACACAGAGACTCACATGGAGAGGAGAAGTAGAGAGACATTGTGAACAGCTTTTGCCAATCAGTTGGAAAGTTTGGACAACATGGCTGAAATTTTAGGGAAAAAAAATGCCTTAGGGTAGAGAAGGAAAATGAGCAAAAATCCTTATTCAAAAATAAGGGAATTTAATTACTAATAAAAATCTTTCTCCAAAGAAAACAACAGGTTAAATGGGGTTATAGGCTAGTTCTACTAACTATTCCAGAAACTGGAGAAGATATTTGTCATATGTGACAAAGACTTAGGACCCAGAATTAAAACAAAAAAATTCCACAAGTCAACATGGAAGAGACCCACCCTAACGGAAACTGGGTGAAAGCACAAACACAAGAAAGGAAACACAAATGATTCATAAAGGTATGAAAGATATTAAGCCCTATTAAAAATTAAGGAAGTAGAAATTAAAATCCAATGATGTACCAATTCATACTCACCAGATAAAACAATATTAGATGTAGGCAAGGATGTAAAACAACACACATGGTTATAAACTGGTATGATCACTTTGTAAATTTGGCAAATTTGAACATATGCATATTCTCCTATGGAGGAATTCCAATTCCAGGTATATATATCCTAATGAAATTCCAATATAAGTACCTCAAGACACATACACATGAAAAACACGTGTAGCGGCTTTGTTTGTAATAGCAAACAAAAACATTCAAATGATAATCAACAATAGGGTGATAAATGGTGGCATAGTCATCCAATACAATGGTGTACAGCTGTGAAAATGAATAAGCTAGAATTGCACCCTATGAATAGATCACAAAACTTGATGTTAGACCAGTGGGTTTTAAATGATGAGTATTGCAGTTATTTGGGGAGCTAATAGAGAACAGAGGCCTTGCTTGTTGAAGTGGGACAGGGTTGGACCTCTGCCATTTTGTCAAGTTCCCCAGGTGATTCAGCAACATGACCAAATTTGAGAACCACTCTGTTAAAACAGTAGGTGACGTGAAGACGTTCATTTACACAAAGCTAAACAAATCATACAAGCCAAGTGATACATTCTTTGGGTTTCATACAGGAGTTGTAGCATTATGAAGGCAGCTGCCTGTGAAGAGGAAGGGGTATGCATTTGGGGAGCAGGCATCTGCCCCAAATGCAGAGTATATTTTATTTCTTCGCTTGACACAAGGTGCACTGAAATCATTTTATTACTCTTTCTTAATGTATGTAATGTTTGTGCATAAGGTCTATTTCACAGGTTCAGTGTAAAAGGCAAGAAAATCAGCAAGATTTATTTTGAGGCTGTGTACTCCAGTGAGCAAATGGGTATGATGTGTACTGATTCTGCTGTTGACTTGCTGACTTCAGTGAGGTCAGGGGAGGTCACACAGTATATACGCATTGTCCTGCTGTTTCTGCTCATCAGGAGCACTATCTAAAAGGATTGTCCAACTGGAACAAAGGGACAGTTCAAAGTGGATTGTGTAAGTTGGCTGCTTGGATTGCCCTCTGCATGCTTAGGAAGGTGCAGAGGTTAGACCTCTCATGGCAGTCCAGAGGCAGTGCCTGACGGCAGCAAGCAGGGAGTGCGTGCATCCCTGTGTGCACCCCTGTGGTACTGAAGGGACCCAGCAGCACCAACAGGACAGGAGAGAGTATGGTATGGTGCTGCTGGAACTGACTGATGAGGCAGGCTCAGAATTCTCAAGGGAAAGGCCATAGCCCTGGGAGAAGAGGTGACCCTTTTCATTGCCCACAAGGGATCTGGGGGGGTCGTTTCCATGGGTTCTTAGATTCTGACTGCAGCTATCCCTGTACTTGATGGTAAGGACAGGCCCAGAAGTGCAGATGGGTGTGAGTGCATGGGCAGACCGTGCATGTGCTTTGACCCAGACAAAGTGCATGGAAATTGGGCTGTGGGAGATGGGAAGGTGTGCAGAGATCCATTGCGTTCTCACTATGAAGAAGGCATGGGGCAGCTAATGCACTAGGAAGAGCCGAGCCAATTGCTTAAGAAATTCTGGGCAGCCAGAATCAAAGGAAGAGTCTGGGGATTGGGGCAGCTGGGGCAGCTGAGGGTCAGGACCAAGGCCCCTTGTTTGTGTTGTCACTGCCCATGGCTCACTAAGCCACTCACCCCAGGTCCTACCTCAGGTTGTCAGGGAAGGTGATGGTCACACTTATCAGCAGGATACTGAGCCACTGTAAGTCAGGCTCCCTACAGATGTCCAGGGCCTTGCTTGAAGTGCAGTGGGCAGTGCTTAGTGCCACTGACCCTCTGGCAAGTTGAGGGTGCAGGAGGGGTTCCATAAAAGAGCCTCTACAGGAGCTCTGCCATCTAGAGTAAGTTAGAAAAGCAAAAGGTATGTAACACAACCATTTCCTCTCTGCAGCACACTGTCTGGTTAACCCCTTTATGCATAGTTCAACTTACATTCTTCATGACCTTATGTTTTTTCTAGATAAAAATAATTTCCTCCCCAAATCCTCTATTCCTTCTCCAGGTAGAGCTAACTGGTCTATCACTGCTCTATTTTACTGTCCTACTTACTGTTAAATCAGAATGCAGTTTCTCTCATCCCACTAGCCTATGCTTGCGGGGAGGGCCTCTGTTAGCAGGGCAGCTAAGAGCAGAGCTGAGCTTAAATGTCCAGCCTCCACATAGGCTCTGCTCCATCTCCTGAAGCCCCACTGGGTTCAGGTCACCTACAGTCCTAGAATATGAACACTTCCACCAATTTCTCTACCTCTGATTGTCCTTTACTCCCAATCCAACCAGACCATTTTCCCTGAAACTATCTTAAAACAGCTGGAATAGCCTTCAACAGTCTGAAACACAAAGTTTAGTGGTTTAAACCTAGAGTCACTGCATAGTAGTGCTTTGATCCTTTTGAGATTATTACAATTCAGAATACTTGGGAACTACTGATGGTTCTAAAAGGGTGCAACTCTTAATTTCTTCTTTCTCCCTGATCTAGCATGTCATTTCAGCTGACCAGTCTCCGTGCTCCCATCTGGTTCTTAAGATAGCTCCTGAAATATATTATTTACCAGTTATCCCTTAATGTATCATGTTGTTTGATTTTAAAACCCCCTGCTCATTTATTTCTAACCCCAATAGCTCCAATTTTATTATTTCATTGTCTCAAATTTAGACCGTGTCCTCTGTAAGAAGGGCGATGTAAGACCTATTTTAAAACAGTTAAAATCTTGATTTGCAACCAACCACCAATTTCATCACTTTTTAAAGACAGTCAATGGACCAGAGCTTTTCTTATACTGCCTCTCCCACCAATAAAACCCTAGGTTTATGCTGGTTTCTATGTTTTGTAGTTCCTGTGTTGCTCCCAGCACTGAAAGCCGTGTTAGTCTCTAATCCGCCATCCCTATGGCAGCCACAGGTTTTTAAAATGTAAATCTGATTGCGCCTACTTGGTGCCTTAGAGCCCTCAAGACTCCTCTTTGCCGTTAGCAGGGATTGCTGAGCACACCACCCAGCTCCTACATCTGGCCCTGAATGGAGCTCCAGGGCTGCATTTGACCACCTGCCCCTCCAGGTCCAGGCTGGGAAGCCTGTGGCATGTTTTTCAGTCCCTGGGACCTGTACCTGGAACAAGGAGCCAGAAGCTGTCACACGCTGCCTCTGTCTTCAACAGCACTACCACCGAGTCCACTCTGCATTGCCTCCCCCCATCCCATACAAGCACTTTGCCTAACTAGTTAAGTTCACCAGCCTCATCCTGGAGAGAGCTCCCTGTGGCCTGTTCCCTTTACTCTTTCTGTGCTTGAGCATGCTCATTGAAATGGGGTAATAACAAGATCTACCTCAGAATTCCTAGGGTTGTTGAGATAATGTGTCTAAAGAGCTTAGCATGCATGGAAGCACAATAGGTTTCCTTATTACTTCGCCCCTAGGTTTCCTTATTACCTCACTCAATATATTTTATCCTATGATGACCTTGAGCTTCACTTGATGGGATTAGGCCTGATTCTTTCATGGCTATCTCCCCAGTACTTAATACAGAACAAACCACAAAGGAGATGTTGGGTAGATTTTGTGCAATGAATGAATGGATAAATGAATGGATGTATTTTCAAAATTTGTATGCAAATCTTTTTTTAAAAAGACAAATCTAATTATTAAAGAAGCAAGGGAAACTCACTGCACTTTGGTCAAATATGTCAGAGAAAACTGGTTTTTCTTCTCTAAATCAGGTAGATGACTCCAAACAGGAAATCTAGCCTTTACTTCCTTCTAGTGCCCACCATGACATTAGACAGTCCCAGTTCTTCAGAGCTGGGCCCATGGAAGCCCAAGCATCGGTGGTTTAGCTGCAGACACCTTTTTCTGGTCTTCAGGGAAGATGCTGACTAATTTTGTTTGCATTTTTGGGTTAGCAAGAATTATTTGTAAATAAAGAACTGTGTGACCTGGGCCCAATCCCTTCACCCCTTTGGCATCAGATATTCAGGCTATGGGTCTCCATGCCTCCTCATAAGCCTTCTGTAGACATAGTTCATGAGTCAATAGTAAGCATGGGTGTGGTTATATTCGCAGGAAATCAGTGACCCAGAGATCCTGGATCTGGTCCACAGTGCTCTTGGCAGGATGACCGTGGTCCGGCAGATCTTCCCATCTGCAAAAGACAACCAGAAATGCATGAGGAACAACCACCGCATCTCCTCCCTGCTCTGCGACCCCCAGGAAGGCTACCTCCAGATGCTGCAGGTCAGTGCTCACCTCCTGAGCTCCCACCAGGAGGGAGTCTCCCCCATGTCCTTGGCCTGCTGAGACAACGATATGCCTCAGCTGCAGCTGAGCAATGTTGCCCACCGCCTGTAATTACCAGGACTCTGTCATCTGCTGAAATTGAAACCAGTGGACTGGGCAGTGCCCCTGAACAGCATTAGCAGGCAATTATGTGTGTTGTCAGCAGACAGTGCATCCTGGCTCACTGGGTGCCTTGTGTATTTAAAAGTTACATGCTTTGGGAGTAAGGAGATTACTGTCTCTTAGGCTTCTGTGACGACTGTATTGTAGGGGTGTGTTCATCTGGTAGGTTCATTTTGAACCTGTTTAGGCTCTTCCCTGTAGGAAGTCAATCACAGAGAGATAACTCTTGTGAAACAACTAGAGACTGTCCCATCTTACCTGCTGTGTGCTAAGGCTTAGGTAAATCAGGACCCTGCTGAAGTCCCTGTTGAGCAGGAAGAGGTGAGAGGGCAGGCCCATGGCAGGCCCACCTGCTGCATTCCTTCCAAGGTGAGAGGCACAGAGTATTTCCATTCAGTCTGTCTACCACTGCTTCAGTATCAGTGCAACTAGTGTTAGCTTCTTTTGAGGCCTGGAGGTAGGGTGTGGAGCTGTGTATCTGTTTTGTGAAGTGGATGTTTGGGGGTAACAGTGAAGTACAAGGGAGGTTGTCCTCTGGGAGCTTGGAAACCACTGCTCTATTAAGAATATCATGTACAAGAAAAGTTTAATGCTTGGTAGGAACCATATAACAGAAGGAAATTTCTCCCAAATAAGTTTATGAAAATTGCCCAGAAGTTCGTGCATGCAATGTGCTTGCCATTCAGCATTTGAAGCTAGTTATACTTTCTAGACTCAGGCATGTGTGAAGAGTGACACTAATTTTAGCTGGAGTAATTCCCACCACCCCATGTCCACTGCCCCAGGGAGCCTCAGAATATCTGTGGTCTTTCTAAGGCTGCGAAAGGTTGGCTGAGAGAGTGGGCCAAGGGCCTTGCAGGGCCTGTGAACTTGAGAGCCCTGGGCATATGGGCTGGAGGTGGGGGGCACTTCATGCAAAGTGTGGATTTTTGGATGCTGCTGGCCTGCTTTGCCTTCTTCCTTTCTGGAGTTTGGAAGAAGAAGCCAGGAACAAAGAAGGGTCTCTGACTGAGTCCCTGTGTTTATTATCCCCACTTGCTACATGGGTGAACGTGAATGAGATGGTGCAGCTCAGGCAGCAGGTACCCATCCCCAGATCCTTACTTGGCACAGGGGGCGAGGGGACTCCCATCTCTCTGTGGGCTTAGATCCTGGGAGGGTCTCACTCCCGGGAAGGTCTCCCCAGGTTCTCTCTTCTGGTAGGGCTTTGTCTCTCTCCAGACACATAGCAGCCTTGTCCCTGCCTTGCCCCAGCTCCCCTTCCCTCATTTTTCAAGTTCTTGCCTGTCACACTGCACTCCTCCTTGAGGAGCAAAGCAGGGGCTTCTTTCACTGCACAAATGTGTGCTGTGGAGGTTGGGGCTGGTGGTGGGAAGGGACAACAGTTCTTGTTGAGGCCTCTGACTACTCATTTTTCTGTTGACTATGAGGTGCAGGTGAGCTATTTGGTTGCACATCAGACACATTCGATGCAAAGAATCTGTTCTGGAGGCCAAGAGAGAAAGGGAGACTGAGAGGCTAGTGGAAGGCCTGGGGCTCTGAGAGGCCTGCACAGGGGTCCAGTGGAAGGTGCAGGGGGCCTGGGCGGCCTGCGCAGGAGTCCTGTGGAATGCATACTAAAATGACCTGTAGCCTTTAAGAGCATGAACCAAGCACGGCTCTGAGGTGTGTGGCTAGTCATCATCACATGTGGCAAATACAGTATCAGACCTCAACCCCGGCCACCTCACTTCTCTCTGTTCCCGCTGAAACCCAGGCCCTACATAAGGAGCAGGATTTAAGAGCAACATCACAGAGATCTTGTAGTGGTAGTAATACCAGTAGCAATAGTAGTAGGAGCAGTAGCAGTGGTACCTGTAATAGTAGTAGCAGCAGTAGCAATAGTAGCAGTAGGAATGGGAGCAGGAGTAGCAGGAGTAGCAGCAGGAATAGCAGTGGGGGCAGGAGTAGCAGCAGGAGTAGTGGTAGGGGTAGGAGTAGCAGTAGGAGCAGGGCTAGCAGCAGGGGTAGGAGTAGCAGCAGGAACAGGAGTAGCAGTAGGGGCTGGAGTAGCAGCAGGAGTAGCAGCAGGGGCAGGAGTAGCAGTGGGGCCTGAGTAGCAGCAGGAGTAACAGTAGGGGCAGGAGTAGCAGCAGGAGTAGCGGTAGGGGCAGGAGTAGCAGTAGGGGCAGGAGTAGGAGCAGGAGTAGCAGCAGGGGCAGGAGTAGCACCAGAAGAGCAGCAGGAGCAGGAGTAGCAGTAGGGGCTGGAGCAGTAGGAGTTGCAGCAGGGGCAAGAGTAACAGCAGGGACAAGAGTAGCAGCAGGAGTAGCAGTAGCAGGAGTAGCAGCAGGAGCAGGAGTAGCAGCTGGGACAAGAGTAGCAGCAGGAGTAGCAGAAGGGGCAGGAGTAATAGCAGGAGTAGCAGCAGTGGCAGAGTAGCAGCAGGAGTAACAGTAGGGGCAGGAGTAGCAGCAAGGAGTAGCAGCAGTAGGGGCAGGAGTAGCATCAGGGGCAGGAGTAGCAGCAGGAGAGCAGTATGAGCAGGAGTATTACCACCCCTGTAGGGTCAGAACGGAAGTGAAATGAGAGAACACAGAGCAGGCATTTAGAACAAGACCTCTATTAATAGTGTTATTACAGAGGAGGGGCCATGTGTGTTCAGAGTTTGTGCAGAAAGGTGCGCATGGCCTCATTTATTTATTTATGTTTTTGGTAAGATCTGGTCTGCCTGTGTTCCCAAGTGTGCTCTCTAAAAGCGTCACAGTGCGGGGAGAGCACGTCCCGTCCGTGGAGCCCCTTACCTTGGGCTCTGCCTTGTGTGCTGCCTGCCCCCTCATGTGGGCACTTGGTCAGTTGCCCTGCGTGGAAGAGGAGAGGCCTTCTTGGGGAGCCTCTTAGCTCCTGACAGCAGACCCTGCTCATCGGAGATGCTCAGCAAGGACTGCAGGAGGGGCTGTGAAGAATGCAGGTCTTAATATGAGTTAAACTATCTCTAGTAGCCTCTTTATACACCTATAAATAAAATACTTTATTAAAGGAATCTCCATTTGTTGTGTCTGCTTCCTTGTGTGTGCGTATGATGAGAGGGAAATGTGGATTTATTTACTCCTGCCCAACAACCACTTGGGCAGTTTGTAGATTCATCTCATTTACAAGCCATTCCCTTCAAGTTTCCTCAGTAGCTATTACCACTTCTTTCTTTCTTAATGACAGTGTAGAAGGCAAACTAATTTCTGCTAGCCTCTAGCTGTGAGATTTATTGAAAAGACTCTAACATGTTTAGAACAACTAACTCAAGAAAAAAAAATTATGTCATGGATTATTAACTTTGTCTTGATGAAATTAATGAAAATCCTTTTGGAAATGGAGCCCTCAAGTCCATCTTTTAGTTCCTCCCCCCACCTGCTGCTCTTGGGATGATAATTCTGGGTTAGAAATTTTCATGAGGACCATCAGAAAGAGGGAATTTTTATAAGATCATCCATCTCTTGGCTTCTCCACTGAGCCAGCCTCAGAAACTCCATCTTTTTCTGTTAGGCCTGGGGTTGGGCCTTTTTGTGCTCCAAAGCCAACCTAGCACCATTAGAGCAAATCAATTTGATTCCTACTTAGTACTGAGAAAGTCTGTTGGAGGAAACAATACTGAAATAAGTGGCTTCTAGTGGCTCCGAAATACTGCATTTGCCAGTGTGCAGTGCTGTGTTGTTTATTTTTCCCTAGAGAGTACTGCCTTATTTGGGTGTTTCTCATTCTTGTTTTCTTGACAACTTAGTTGAGGGCTTGTCTGACTCAACCAGTAATAAATGTGATAACCAGTCCCTAAGAACCCTGACTTTTGGCTGAGATTCACGGGCAGCCGAGCTTAGAGGAGACTCGGTAACGTTCTTGGTCTTCAGAACTGCATTGCCTGGTGACTTCAGGGCTGCAATTTAAGTAACAGACATATTGTCACATTGCCTCCCCATTCAAATGCAAATGTATTTCCAAAGGGGGACAGGATAAATGATATAAGCTGTGTTGTCTGGTCACTGTGGAGCCTGATCCTTGAATTAAACTGTGGGGGCTAATGTGGTATTATTATAAAAGGCTCCCTCAGGTTGGAATTTCTCTTCTCTGTGCATTTTAAAATTGTTGAACGTCGTAATAGACGGACTCACTTCTCCTCCACTCAATCTATTAAAGCTTTTCTAAACTCGCCCTCCCCTACTTGTCCCTATTTCTTTAGGGATTTCTGGATTCTTCCCTGTCTACAAGTTGTTTTTTGTCAATCTGCCGGTAGCATCCTTTTTGGTGGAGCAACACTGAGCCTCCTCACTCCAGAGCTTCCTTGGACTTCTGGTGACTTACACTGGTATCTGTCACCTTAAAGACACAGATGGAGCATTTGGCAGCCAGAGTGCCGATCCTCAATGCCTTTGTCAGGAACAGCTGCACAGGTGGCCTCCTTGGGGGCAGCTGCTGACTGTTGTGGCCGCAGATGGCCACGTGTACATCTGGAGCCCAGAGAGCCTTGGGTATGGACAAGGGCCCCTCCCCACTGTCCATGCCCTCCCTTTGGATTCAGTGGTGAGCAGCGTCCCCTTTGCCCTCTGCCACCATCTGCTTCCTCCTCTCGCCTGGCCATGATGCGCTCTCTTAAAACAGGTGGGCTGGCAGCCGTTTGTCAGCGAGGCCTTGCCTGGGGGTGGATTTCTCAAGTGTGACATTGGGGTGTCAGCTTGTCCTCCCAGCTGGACCCTCTGCTGTCTGCTTGTCTGACGGATCTGGTCAGAGGTCAGTTTCTGCTGTTTGCCTCTTTGAAGTCTCCCTGAACAGCCCACTTTGCTTGATTAATGATGGAGGGAAGAGAAACC